TTGTTACAAGAACTAAAACTGGAATGAAGGCATATGAAAAGATGAAGAAATCCAGAGGAAATCACCAGAGCATTATTAACTTCACTTCTGTCAAAGCTTCCCCTGAATATTTCAATTAGAAAGTGAACATGAAGCCATATATAAAGATAAGTCTTATAATATGTTCAGCATTACACACTGTCAACAACATCTGGAAGCCTGTCTCAAGATGACTTAAAAAAACCTTACAGACAGACAATCTTCCATCTAGATGCTTTTCTAAGCATGGAGCACTTCTTAAAAAAAGAGATTTGACTTTTCCGATATGAAAAAAAATACCAACTGAGCCTCTAATTCTCTTAAGAGTTTAAGGTGGAGGATTAACCATAAAGTAAATCATAAAGAAAGCCTTGAAACCTCTAATAGTCTAATGAAATACCCAACTAGCATGACCTCTCATCATGTGCAGTAGGTAAAATGGAGAGAGGGATGTTACACAGTCAGCTGGGGACAGAAAATCAGTCAACTGCTCCAAACCTTAAAGGAGGCAGGAAACCATTCCAGTTTCTATATAGGGAGGGAAGACCTTGTCATTGCCTTCCCCTCCACAGGTTAGAGAGCAAAGTTTGGCATCCTCTTCAGAGACACCATCTCCTGAAATTGGGACTCCCTACATCAGACTTCTGGGGAAAAGGGATTTAGGAAAGGCGAGGAATAAAACAGAGATGATTGGCAATGTTCTGACATGCAGTGAGACTCACTCCCCACTCCTTTATCTTCACAGCCATCACCACAGCCCTTCTGCACACTTAGTAACCACATTTCCATGGGTCTGAGCTGTCCCAGGCACAGGCAGGATGCCTCAGCCATGAATGCTCCTGACATTGAAGTAAATCCTCTTTGGATATCTCACAGCTGTTCCTCTTTCCACCCTTTGACTAGACTCTCCTCTGTTTGTGAAAGTGACTTTGAAAGAATTTGACTGCTGATGCCAGTGGGGAACTCCCACGAAGGCAAGGAAGTTGTGTGCAAGTTGTTATTGGGGAAGGAACTTCTGTGCTCTGAGCAGAATGTCTCAGTGTAAGTGATGTTACACGTGATGAAGCACAGACTTCCAAGCTAAGGAACCCACCTTGTCCTCTCCCACACAAATTCCTAAGCATCTCCACCCATTGACCATTATTTTCTGCTGCTGATTTTTTTAGTCTTGAACATGAAATAATGCAACGAATACTTTGGTGTGTATGAAGACTATTTAAACAAAAAGAGACAGGAAAATAATTACGCAACTAAAGACAAATCATTAACTCCCTACAAACTCACCTGAAACTCATGCTCAGACTTCTGTATAAAATAAATCTTCTTTGGGGTTTTTTATGCAAATATACAGATGTGTGGCTGCTACCATGATGCTGATTCATCACCTTTGATGTTTAATGTATTGGAGGGGTTAGCTTTCACTGACATACACATGCAATGGTTTTGCAACAGCATTCTGAATTTCACCTCTGAGAAACAATGCTGGATTGATAGCATTGAAGTCTAATGCTTCTTGTTTAGCCATTTAAAGTCATGGAAGGTGCTGTGCAGAAAATCTCCCTCCTATCAACCCCATTATTCTGGAGGAGGAAGAAAGGAAGCGAGCAGAAGGGCTTCCAGCCCTTTGTCCCATTACACAGTGAATTATAACACCAAGGAAATACATTTGACACAAAGTTAGCTTCCCATTCAGAAAAGCATTTGAGGCAATTTGCTGCCCCAAGCTGCCTTTATGTGAAAGGAAGAGAAATGAGGCCCTGTGAAAGCCCATGTTACCTTTTTCTCCTGGGCAGAGAGACTGGGTGTTCTCACGGGTGCATGGGGTATTCCTTTTCTCCGACCCTTGTTTTCAGGCAGGGGGTTTAGAGGGAGGCCACGACAGATTTCCTTCAGGCTGGTCATAGCTGCTGAGGAAATAGGGGGAGGAAAGGCAAGGCAAACTGGAGAGGTACGAGGAAAGGTACAAGGAAGAGGTGCAGGAAATGAAGATGCTGCACGATTCAAATGTGCCACCTCTCCAGGGGGATCTCCAGGAGGACAGAGTGTCCTCTGGCTTTGGCAACCAGGGCTGTCAGGCTGAGAGGGCAGGTGGCACAGGTGACACACCTCCCTGCTCTGTGCCATGCCATTGGCTCTTCCCTCCTCCCCCAAAATGAATGATTCACAGCTTGATTATTCTCTGGGTGCTTTGTCAACTGGTGCCGTGCTAAGGCACCAGAGGAAATTCAGTCACCTTCCAAATAACCTGATTCCCCCAATGTTCACGTGAGAGTCGTGGTCTGGAGCAGGAATATTGACTGAGACATAAAGAATTGTTTCATTTATGTTGCTATAGCTTAGGAAGTAATGAAATTTAAGGATTAACTACTCAGTTAAGATGGGCACTCTCTGTTTGACACCCCTTGGTGTGGGCATTTCCTCAGATCTCACCAATTCATCTTCTAGACAGCAGCAGTGGTCATCATAACAGCAAAATTTCCCCCTTAGGTGTTAGCTCCTCTCAGCTCACAGGCATGAATGCATTTTCATTGCATTGAACTGGAAATGTACTCATTAGCACTGGAAGTGGATTTCTCAAGACAGGCAATAATTGGGAGGAATAATGAAGGCTTTCAATCCTATGTCACTTTTATACCCTACAGTCAACAACAGCTAGAAAGTCTTGTACTGCCATCCAGGCATCACAGGTAAATGAATGTACTTAACTTTTTCCACTTAACAGTGCAACGTGAACTTTGCTCTCCATTCTGGCTTGTTGTTGAAATATACAGAAGCTTCTTGACCTTTATTACATCCATTGAACTACAAGTGCCACATTTTAAGCCTGGTGAAATTAACTGGGCAAAGCATTTCAGTTAGAAATGAGCTTAAAACCTGCAAACGAAAAAATGCAGCATTTCCCCACAAAGGCAGCAATCAACAAGCAGTGACAACAAAGCACAATTATTAAATGACAGCCTCTCATTAATGTCAGATCTGCTTTAGCTCTAGGATATCCTGCACATCCCCAGCTCCCAGTGAAGATGCTCAAGTTGAAAGAACTCAGAGCATCCCAGGGGAGCTGAGCACACAGCAGACTCAGACCCTCTGAAGGATAATGTCATTTACAGCAGGAGAATTTTGTTTTGTAATGATGCAGTATTTTAGCTGCTTAACAAAAGGCAAAGGTGAAAAAGAGACAGAAAAACCTCTATATTTTAAAGTTTTTTGTTGAGTTTTATATTAAAAACATACAAAAAATTTCATATTAAAAACATACCAAAAAAATTTAAAAGGAAGGTTAAAGTCAGAAAATTCTACCCCAAAATCTAGCCAGATAACCCTGCCTTACATAAACATTCCCACCCCAACGGGATATAAATCTTTCCTTATTCTTCTTTGTTCAACCTACATTCTTCAAATCCCTTCAAGGTCTGATCCTGCACGCACAGGGGGCACAAGAATAACCCTGTCTGCATTTGCACTCCCATCAGACCTGCTTCTCCCATGACACTAGCAGAAGTTAATGGTGTTAGACTGGTGAAGAAGGAGAGAACGAAAATGTGGGGAACTCACATAGGATGTTTTCTCGGGCTGGGCACTTTCACCCCCTGATGAAGGGGGGTGTCTCACGGGAGTGTCTCTGCGTGCCAGAGTCACCGCTCCCGGTTCCGGGATTCTGCCAGCGCCGCCCCAGCTCCGGGCAGCCGCCATCCCCTCGCTGCCCGGCCTGTGCAGGGACCCCGGGGCGATCCGCAGTGCCCGGGGTGCCGGGGCAGCTGCCATGTGCCGGCCGGGCTGGCAGAGGGTGCTGCAGGGACAGACGGACGCGGGCGCGCCCCCGCTGCGCGCACACACGGACACGCACCGGGACACGCACGCACGGCCCGGCTGCGGGAGGAGAGGATGCGCCTGGAAAACAACGCCCGCGGCTGAGCCCAGCCAGGACCAGCCCAGCCCAGAGGAGGCGCGGAACCGACCTTAAAAAAAATTAAATTAAGGCAGAAAAAATAAATAAATCAGCACATATAAAGCCCAGGAAAAAGATCACATGTTTTAATAATCCCCTTTACAGCCAGACAGGACCAGAGAGGAGGAGAACTGAGCAGAAGTGCCCGGTTAGGACGGAGAGATGTGCTAGATAGAGGCTGAAGGGAGCAGAGACAAAACTTGCCGATAACTAACCCGCCCTGGGAAGGGCAGGACTCCCCTCCCTGAGCCCTGCTGTGGCAGAGCGAGGAAGGATTCCGCAGCCCCTCTCTCCCTTTCCCCGCTCCGGTGTGACGCTGGCCCCGCAGCTCCATCCCCGGCCCGCCCGGTCCCTGCCCGGGCCGCTCCAGCAGCGCTCCCCGGGGGCTGCCCGGGCACCGGCCCCGCAGAGCTGGCGCTGCGCTTGTTTTCCACTCCCCTGGCGCTCACTGTGTGAAGCAAATCCCTCGGAGGTGGGGGAGAAGCGGCTTCCGTGACAGCGGAGGGAGGAGGGAAATAAAACAAAATAAAACAAACCAAAATAAAAAGAGAGAAGAGCCAAGAAAGCACTTGCTTCTCATCATCTCTCAGGGACCAAAGCCAACTCTTCTTCTTATGACCCCACGCTGCAGGGAGCGGAGGCAGAGAAGGCACCGGGGGGCAGCTCCTAACAAAGCGGGGTCCGGGCTGCCCGCACCCCCTCGCCGCCCCCGGGACGTGCGACGGGCCAGGCAGGGCTGCCAGGGCCAAGCCGGGCACAGCCGAGCCGAAACTGCGCCGAAAGCGAGGAGCAGAAATGAAAGTTTCGAAATAGCATCCGAGGGAGCTCCTGCCAAGGAGCGCAGCGAGCAGAGCTCCGCGCCTCGCATCAGCCCCCGATGGTGCATCCCAGGGGCTGCGTCAGAGATGTGAGCGTCCCCTGCCCGCTGCATGGACAGGGGTGAAGGCGCCGAAACACCTCGCTACTTATTTATTTATTTATTGGAAGCAATGTATGGGTGACACCCAGAAGGCATCTGAGCCTTGCAAAAAAAAAAAAAAAAATCAAACCACCTCTGGACCCAAACGAGAAGAAGGAGAATGAGACAGCAGCCTTGACCCCTACACTGAGAGGAAGGTGAGCAGAAAGAAAGAAAACACAGAAAAGCCATGCAAGCACCAAACCTGTAGATTACTGCAGGTCTTTTTTTGTTTCACTGAGGACAAATATTTTACTGACAGCCATGCAGCATAAAGGCATCATGCTGATTGTGTTCTTGGAATATTTTATTTCTGGACATGGAGAAGCAGGTAAGCAAAATAAATCAATATTGCTATTCTGAAACAATTTATCCTAAATTTAGCAAGGGGAAAAGGGATAGAAATCAGGTCTGTTTGTGAAAAATAAATTGTGTCAACATCTTTATTTTAGATTGATTTTTACAAGGAATCTGTGTTAGTCAATATATACAAATGCCTCTTATTCCCTGCAATACCCAGCTTTATAGGTCAGTGTCCTTCCAAAGACTTATCATAGGATGTACAGGTTCATGCACCCTTAAAAGAAAGCAGTGCATCATTTTTGAAAACAAAAGAAAAATAAGAGAGAAAGAAAGAGATAGATGGAGTGAGATATGCTGGTTGTTTGTTTTGAGGATGAAACACTGCCTTCCTAGGCAGGACAAGAGTGAAATGACAACATCCTTGGAAAGCATCAGTGTAGGAATCTGAATTATTCTCTGTTAACTTAATATTGCATAATTAAAAATCAGAGATACTGTTTAGGAAATTTTAACTGAATACTGTTTAGGAAATCTTAACATGCAGAGGACAGGATTAAATTTGCATTAGAGAAAAATAGATTAAAATAGAAAGAGAAACTGATTCGTTGTGTGTATACATGTGGGTGTACAAATAAACATATATAGGAATGATGCAGCTGTAATGGTATTTACATGGGGTTCTAAAAATACCTGGATTATGATGAAGACAAATTCCTTAAAGGAAAGGAAGCAAAGCATTGGATTTTTGTCCTTTCTGTTGTGGTTTAATATATATTTAAGTTCAAAAAGGATTAATTACAGGAATCAGGTCAGAAAAAATAGAAACAATTACTGATGAAAAAACAGTTCATCCTTGGTGACTTTTCCATTGAGATACTGTCTTGGAATTTCTCTTCCTGTACAGGAAAGCACTTCAATGGTTTAAATTTCACCTGTGTGCTCAGAGTGTTGGGACAGGAACAACACTCCCCATGCAGAGGTTTGAAAGGGCTCAGCCGTCCTGCCAGTTCCAGTGCATTCAGCTCAGATGATTCCCTAGCCAGAACCCCTCTGATAACAGACAGCACATTTCCATAACAGCAAGGGTTATTTTCTTAATAACTGAACAGCTCATGAATTTACCATCCTGTTGTATGACCCAGTAACTCATCTGGGGAAGGGGCTGTCACAGCGTGACAGGAATGAGGGGAGGGAGTACCTGTGCCTTAATTCTCTTATTTTGGGCATTCCCTGGCTCCCCAGGCTCGGATGTAGGCTCCCTCCAGGATCCATATGGTGACATGCAGCACAGAAAGGTTGCAGAGATCTCTTGTGAAGCTGCTGACACTGTTGCAGAAGGCAGCCTGTTACAAACTAGCCTAAATCTGTTCTGCATCCAATTCACTAAGAGAAAATGAATCTTCAAGGAAGCACAGCTTCCAGCTGGCTGCTTAGAAAGTGAATTTGCAGGGAGGGGGTGTGTTCTGTTTGGAAATAAACTCACAGAAAATAATAGCATAGGACATAGTGGATAGCAGCAAAATAATTGGATATTGAAGGTGATGCTGCTAAGGATTCGATGTCCTCTTAAATGAGTATTTGGTGTTTGAATAAAAGGTTGCACAAACTATCAGCCTGTGAAAGCACAAGGGTTGCCTGTTAATTTTTGATTATTTATTTAGTGCTGAGACATTCTTGAGAAGTATGGTTTTGGCATATTTCATTAGCCTATGGGGAGTACAAGGCACATGATACTTGTGGGCAATCCAGTATTTCCCTTCTGCTGCCTCTGTGCAGAAAAGACAGTCTGGGTTGTCAACATTGACTCCTTAGACCTTTAAACATAATGGGGAAAAAACACCCAAACAAAAAACCAAACACCCTGCTTATCAGGCTGGAGCAGTCAGCTTGGGTTTATACCACAAGATGTGACACTTGGACAATCCTTCCCCTTGTCTGATGTAGGTGGGGGGCATTATTCCCCTCCAATCACCTCTGCAGAGACCTGAAATTCCTGCATTAGGGACACTTAGTGGAACTGACCACAGCTTGGGCTCTGGCTTCAGCCCCAGCCCTCCCCATGTGAGCAGTGCCCTGGGGAGCAGCACCTGGGCCAGGTCTCATCCCAGTGGGAGCCCTTGGAAAGAAGGTGTGGTGTGGCCAAAAATGGCCTCTTCTACCATCAAGCTTAAAATCAGCTGCAGAACCTGGTTATTAGCAGGGCTTGGTTTCTTCTGTCTGAGATTATTCAGCTCATCTGCCAGTGAAGCTGCAGGTGCTAGAGCCCACTTCTGCTCCAGGAAGGATGGGGACAGGCAGATCCCAGCCTGGGATCTTGTTCTTCTCTCCATGCCTCAAGTCATGGAGGCAGCTTGGTTTCACATTCACACACTGAAATTCACATTCTGAATTTCACCTCAGAGGGATTTTGACACCAGGCTCATTAGTTCCAGTTATCAGAACTATTTTAGTGCAGAAATACACCAGGCTTCTCCTAAGGGGATGAAGACCTGCCAAACTTAGTGCATGTTGGCCCCGGACAAACCAAGAGTTGAACAGCTGTTGAAACCAGTGTTAAAGGGCAAAATTCTAGGTCTGACTAAGAAAAACTTGAGCAACTTAAGTCCCCAGGGTGGTTAGATTTAGAATAACATTTATAAAGTTGAACAGATATATAACAAGTGAAATCCAGGTTGGACATACATGTTGAAATTGTTTCATTAAACACACAGCAGAAAATGCCCAAAGGTTTTGCTCTTTCTGAGATATGTGAAATTTACTGCCCTGACTCACTGCAGGAGATTTGAACACACAAAATCATAAATCTGCATATGGAAAAGAAATAAAAATTCTAATTCAAGTCACTCAGAAAATATTAGGCATCTTTCCAGACATGTCAGCAGGTTTTGGATGAATTGCAATATGACCTTTCTTCTGTTGAGTATCCAATGGAGGGTGAAAAAGAAATGAAGAAAAAAATAATTGAATCTGGTTTTAGTTAATGTCTACAATGTTTTAATGCATTACAAGGCTGTGAAGTAAGAGGTCTCTGTTTGAAATGGTGTCCCAGGAATATCAATAGTATGACCTCCCCTGAACTGTATGATTCCCTAATCATCAGATAACACCATTGTTACAACACGTGCTGGGCATGTGCCATTGACCTGCACTTTGTGGCACAGCTCTGAGGGACCAGAAAACAAACAAATAAATTAATCATACCATTCATGGAGCCAAGCCACCCTCCATGGAGTAAAAGCTAATCAACCTCATAATAACATGCAGTGCCCATGCGTAATCAAACTGTTTAATTCTCTATGAATTATTCAGTGAATCCTCCTGGCAGTTGGGGTAAGTTGTGTGTTTGCCTAGCTGCTGTTTCTCTCCTGCAGCAGTCTCCCCTTGCTGTCCAGGCTCAACATTTCATGTTGTTTCCACAGAACCAGTGAGTGATGGACGGGCTGCACTATCCTTGTGGCCAAACAATGTTCTGCCAATTGATTTCTTTAAATACAAAGCTTTTAATCGACTGCAGATTTTGTTTTCCAATCTCTCTCCTTCTCTCAAACTCCCTTCTGCTAATTTGCACTTTGTTCTTCTCCCATTTTCCTAATGACACAGCAGTTCAGACAGGAACTGTTTATTGATGTTGCTGCATTAGCAGGCAGAGCAGATAAACCTTCTTGTGACTGCTGTTCAGGAGAAAATACACCCTTCTTTCTTTTCAAGGCTCAGAAAAAAACAGCTAAAAATTCAATACAAAGCTAATAGTCCATTTATGGGAAATACAAAAAGCAGCCATTCCCTTTAGAAAATGTTTCCTTTTCTGTTTTCTCACATTCTTGTCTGCAAAGCTCCCCCTTATGCAACTTCCTTAATTTAGAACTCCAGCATCCCATTTCTTCTATGAAAGCTTTAGTGGTGTCATCCATCAATAGAGATGGACTTTCTTTTAATTACATGGTATATTTATACATAATCATCTATAATCCAATAACATTTGTAACATGGATACATTATTAATCAAAACTAAGTAACCTGACTCTAAGTCAGAACTAACGCCTGCTCAAAGCTCAGTTGTGAGACCAGTCCCACTAAAATTCTCTGGAGGCAAAGATGACACCTTTGTGCAGCACTGGGCAAAATCAGTTAATACTGAATCTGCTTTCAATACAGAAATTGCTTTCCTTATTTCCAGCAGTTTTTACCAAGCAGTTTGGACAGGAAGCTAAATGCCACCTGCAAAGACACTCTTGAGGTGTGCACTTGTAGCTCATTCTATCTTTGCTTACTTCTGGTGGTGCTGAGAATCACCTGCTCAGCCGAAGGTGGGGAGCACAAAACAGAACCAACAGAGCCAAAAATCCCCATTTCATTGCTCTCCAGATGGGTCTGCAGCTCCTCACGTCTGTGCTGGCACAGTGAGTGGTGGTGGGACTGGGGAGGGACCCTTCCATTCCCTTGGTCTGAGGACTGTTATGTGCTCTTGTAATTCAGGCACTGCTGCCCTCTGAGCTCTGCCAGGCTCCTGGGACTGACATCATTTCAATACTAAAAGAAAATCATTGCCAGCCAACACACTTCAAATTACCTTGGAAAACAGGCTTCCACCTGTTTCTAAGAGCAGACAAGAGCATTTGTGGATGATCTCCTTCCTTGCTATCTGAAGTTTTAGACTACCTTACACTGTATGTAAGCTAAAATGGTACAAACCATTGGTCAAAAGGATTCAGTGGACATGCAATAACTATTTTGCATCCTAACCAAGCAATGCAAAATGCATGAGGTGTTTTCTAAAACAGTGTTCAGGTCTGACCTTTTTTTCCTGGCCTGTGCAGAGATGTCACTGAGGAACTAAGGACAGAATCAACTCAGAAGCAAAACCGTGCAAGCTGAATGCATTTTTTCACTTTAAATTTTCCTTTTGGAAAGAGGAATGTCCATCTCATTCAACAACATTTACAATCTGAGTACTTTCATAAGGCTGACTTGGAGACCCCTTTCTTTGACCTGACTTGATATTTAAACTAATTTTACCTAAGGAAAAGCTGAATATAAATGGAGTAGGGATTTTAAAATTTGACCTAGTAGGTTGAACTTATAGCTGACCTTTGAACTGCTCCTGGATTACCCAGGGTTTACAGCCATCCAATGTATCATTGGAAGGGTCATTTCCTGCAGGACCTAAATCCAATCATCTGACTTGTGACCTCTTGGATTAGATTTATGACCTTGCAAGGTCAGTCTTTAACTCCTCTAGAGTGTTAAGTTGCAAAGAGAGCATTTTATGTCATTGGAAATGCAGATTTCTCCAGTGCAGTAATAAGTTTTGGAATGACCTTTAATTCCAGTTCACAGGATACTACTGATTTTCAAATAACATTAAGATTTTGTAGTTATCCCTACAATTTCCTAATTTAGAAATAAGTAAATATGTACATTGAAGATACCAAAAACGTATCAGTATTTGCAAACTTGCAAATAGAATGTAATCACCTACCTCCATGTCAAGGTATTTAAACAAAAGACACGCTTGATTTTCGGCTTTGCTACAAATTAGTGACTCAGCTACTCAACATAGAAATACAGGCTTCCTTTATGTGTTCATATGTGTAATTAGTGTCTGTAATGTTAGGCAGGAATCATCCCTTTTCTTAATGTATCGACAGTGTCTGGTCCGGTTTGACTTTGCCCTCTGATTACCATGAAAATAAAGGCATTGAATAGATTCACTCCTTCAATATGGAGTTTTACTAGAGTGAAAGTAAAAACCACAAGATTTCTCTGGTTAACCATAAAATTCAATAGACTGGCACAATTGCATTTTCAACAGAAATCAGAGTTAGGCACCATAAGCACAAGTTTTTCTAAAGGTCAGTTTCTGAGTTAGGCACCAAACACAAGGACTAGATTTATTGAGACACTGTCCCAAAACTGGTGTGAAAAGATGAAGCAGCTCTCCCTCAAAGGTGTCCCCTTAAATGTCAGTCCCCATATTGAGGGGGTTTGTGTTGTCACCTGGGTTACACAGTGAGAACTGAGAAATTCTGCTTGTGTCTCCTTTCCCTTCAGATCCCACGAGGCCACGAGCCTCCCGCTGCAGCGGCCGTGCCTGCAACCCTCCCGTGGGGAACCTGGCCACAGGAAGGACACCAGTGACCAGCACCACGTGTGGCCAGAACAGCACAGAGCTCTTCTGCTTCTACCCAGAGCAGAACCTCCTCCACCACGTCTCCCCTGGCTGTGGGCAGCCGCGCTGCGCCAAGTGCAACATCAACCAGCCCGATAACTCCCACCTCCCTGCTGACATGACAGATGATTTCTTTGCAAACCCCATCTCCTGGTGGCAGTCTGCCCAAGGGGTACACAGAGAAGAAATCAGACTGGACTTTGAAACAGAATTCTACCTGACCCATGTCATTGCTGTGTTCAAGTCACCTCGCCCAGCTGCCATGGTGTTGGAAAGATCCCAGGATTATGGGCAGACTTGGAGGCCCTACAAGTATTTCTCTGTCAACTGCACAGCTACTTTTGGGCTCCAGGATGATCTCATTGAGGAAGGCTCCATGTGCACTTCCAGGTATTCAGATGCAGTGCCCTGCACCAGAGGGGAGGTAAGCAATAATTGAGGTTTGGACTAAGTTTAATGTCAAACAGCTCAAGACTGTCAGAAAACCAGAGAGTGTATCTCAAAGAGATACTGTGCATATAAATTAAGAAAGGTATCCCATCCCTAAAGGCTCTGTGCTAAGCAAATAAAGGGGAAGAAGAAGAGAAATTATATATACATCAATGATAGAAATGCTTTAGAAAATTTCTTTTATGAGAGCTCACAGGATAATATGAACATTGCCTGATTTTACACTGCAGATGCCCAAAACTGAACTAGAATTCTAGCAAAGTAGATGTAGGAAAACACAGATCTGTAGAGTCTGATTTATCCAAACCATTTTCACTTTAGGATGACATGAACTGCATGATCCTTCTTTTTCTTCTCCATATAAAACAATCTTAGATGATTGGCTAACTTTTAAATACATCATTCCTCCAAGGTCAATGTTTTCTTGCTTTCACTTTTCTTGCTGGTGGTGACTATGGCTGATTGTATCAAGCCATAGGCTGCAGAAATAAAACTGCTTGGAAGCAGAGGTGGGAGTGAGCAGCCAGGATTCTCTGTTCAATGGTGGGAAAAGCCCTCCCTTGGTATGAATACTCTGATTTGGTTTTAATCATACACAAAAGAGTGTTTCTTAAATAAATGTACAGTTGTTCTGATAAGTTCCTCTGACAAGACCATAACTACTGATTAGAGCCTTTTCATTCATCAATCTTGAAACAGTTCAGATGGGAAAGACCATAAACATCATTGGCATCATTTTACAGAGAAGACAAAGTCACAAAGCAAGATTATAAGATATTCCTATAATCACAACAGAGGCTTGAATCTTTTCATGTCCTTTCACTTCCTTCTCTCTTCCTCAGAAAAGTCACAATCCTTTTGGTTTCAGTGTCTGGAAGTGGTCAGCAGATTCAGACTTATCTGCAAATTAAATTTAGTTGTGAGGTGAATGGTCCAGATAGGCTTCAGAAAACCCAGTGTTTCAGCAGTGCACTTCAAAATGCACATGAGAAGAAACCAAGGTACTATACCTGAGGCAGGGGCACAGCAGTAGGGAGAGATTGAATTCATCTGCCTGTAACAGGCTAAGAAACATCTCTGCTTATTAGAAACCTGGAACAGATCATCTGGAGTAGTCATTCTGCTGGTCAGTTACCATTATTCATTTCATGTCCAAGTCAAATGCAAGTCAAATGCATCCAAATGTCTTCTGTGGGGAGGTTACAATTTGCCACGTAAGAATCTCAGCAAGTAATATATTTTTCCATTCTTGTGTGCCTTCCAATCAAAAATCTGGAAGTACTTTGCAAAACCCAGCTAATGATCTTCAGCACACACACAAGGGTTCTGCTGCCATTTCACAGATGAGAAAAGAGCAGCACAGGAAGGTGAAGGGTTTTGTAAGAGAGGACAATTCTGGTTGAGTTAGGGACAGAATACAGAGTCTGAGGGAAATGCCTCGGCCTTAAATACAAAATAACCCTTCCCTCTCTAGTACAGTATCCCCTGCACTAGGCTGGCTTTTGTGCTTAACCTTGGAGAATATCATTGAGACCATGTGCTGCTGCCACAACAAATCTGGGAAGTGGATGGCAGAAAATCAAATAATAAAACATTCATCCAATGCAAGCCTTTGTCAAGTGTCAAAGTGATTCTGTCAATTTGGGTGGCAGCTACACTGAAATGAGTCTGTGTGTGCTTAATCAATCTAGGGCATGGTAAGAGATGTCAGGAAACAATAGTAATAAGAAGAGCAATCCTATATTTACAGGTTACCCTTGCAGATCCCAAATACTTTCATGAATTGAATCAGTGCAGAGGTCACTCCCTCCATGGGAGAAGGGCTGAAGCTTTAGAGCAGCACACAGGAATCTGTGCGGCAACTTAACAGAGGACAAGACAAATAGTGCTTCACAGCACGTTAACCAAAAAGGGTTGTCAGGCTCTGGACAGACTTTACAGAGACCTCTTAATCAATCCAAGAAATGTCCCTATGGCAAGGGTGCAGAAGCACCAAGTTTTCAGGTCAGCAGTATGACACAGCAGATTCTCTTGTGGACTGGAATAAAGGAAGGCAGAGTGTAGCTCTTCACAGTGATACCTGATCAGGTTTGCCTGAGTGGCACTGCTGCTCTTACTGCAGGGCTCAGGGGAGCTTTGCCCACACACCTCAGAACTGCAAATTTACACCTTGTTTTGAAGATATCACAAATGTCACCAGGGCATCCCCTCAAGCACTGACTCCAGTGACTTTGAAGGCAGCTGACTGAATCCCCACCAGGATTTCCTTCAGTGTTCTCTGCTTCTTTTTCACCTCCACTCTGACCTACCCAGTTACTGATTCTGGCTAAGCCTTGGATTGCTGAGGGGCTCACATCACAAGCTGACAGCACGTCTGAAATGATCAAAACTGTTCCAACTTAAGTGCTAATTAATGCTCTGACATAAATGCCAGTTTTCTTTACTGAGGGGTTTGAAGTAATTTTCACCACATGAGACTCAGGTTATTCTTGGGTCCTATTCATTCTGAGAACAGACACAAATTCCTTTTTTAACAGGCCACAAAAGGAATAAAAAAAAAATTAAACCCATGCTGGGACACATCATGAAACAAGATTTCAGGTCAACTGGCTTCCAGAACTGGGAATGTAAGCATGAAAGGAGAAGGTGCTAGAGCTGCAGTAACCTACACACATTTTTAAACTGAGATACATCTCATTCAGCACATTCTGGCCACCAAGACCAGAAAGAAGCAAGGTAAAAAAATTGTCGGAAGAGAAAATTTTAGGAGACTAGGATGGAGCAAAAGATATTTGGATGAGTGACATGACAATGTCACAGCAGAACGTAAGTTAAGGCATATCCCTTGTCTCTGGTAGATTGCCCCTTATTTTTCACCTCTGACAGGGTCACATATCTCCATTCCATCTCAGATAAGATACATCTGAGACAGAAGGCACTGGGGAACACCTCATATAGAAATGTAAGAAGATGACTCTCTAATACATCTTTTCAATTTTCTTTTACTCAAGCATTTGTTAAATCCCTTACTCCTGCTCAGATCCAGAGCACTTTAGTAGATAGAATCTATCTGAAATCCTAGGATTCTCATCATTGGTTCATGAACTAAAACCAACATCACATTTTCAAGGTCTGTTCATCATCTGTAAGTCCATCTATAGGCAATATTGGCATGGAGTCTTATGAATCAATTGAGACCTTTTTTACCCACTTGTCCATCCATCTGTTCTTCTAACTTAAAAACACTGTACTATATAGTCATGGAGCCTAAAATGAGCCTCCAGGTCAGCTAATATAAATCAAAACTTTGGCCTAAACAAAAGGAGAAATTAACAGAGCATTGCATCAGGCATCAAAGTGAGCTGCAGTTCAAACATCATGTGAGGGGGAAAAAGGACTGAAATGTTTGAACCTGCATCCTGACAGCACGTGCACTTGAGGATCTGAGAGATTAAGAGCACGTTTTTAATAAACTGGAATATCAGGAAATGAAAACAAATGTTCTCCTGCATTGAATGTGATGTTTGCATGAAAGGAAGACATTAGCATGCAAAGTGGGGTGGAACACTGACCTGCTCATAGCCACCAGGCCCAGAAGGAGACCCTTCCCCTACTGGGTCTAGTGAGTGGAAGGGAGTTCTGAATCAAGGGCTGGTTCATTTATGTGAGTGTCTGTGTGACAGATGATACCAATGAAGTGTGATATAATAAACCCATTACTGGAATTCACTGGGGGCTGGAAGAATTGTGTATGCCTGAATTAAGGAACTGGTTTCTATGGCAACATGTTAAGTGTGCCTTGCACAGAAGACCTGTTCATTCTCCGTTTTGTATCCTGTGGTGACCTCTTTAGGGACAGAAGTCCCCAGCAGTGCCTTTTGTCAAAGATGAGTGGACCCTCTGTAGCTAAAAGACATTTAATCACTCTTCTAAACACACTCCCCTTGGTGAATGCCAGACCAGGACAGGTTGTGATGGGTGCAGTTCTGTCTGCCTCAAAAGCCACCAGGGAGAAGCCAGAGTCAGCCCTGTGGACTCTGTCTTTTCTTCTGCACTGCCACTGAAGCTCTGCTGCCTTTCTCCATCCATGGGGACCCCCTGAGCAATAGCTGTGGCACAGGGGACTACTTGCACCCAAGCACCAAACCAGGCCAGGGACAAGGCTCTGTGTGGGATGCATGGATCCTGTTCCAAGGACCTGCATTTCCCACTGTCGTTTCCCAAGCTTCTCTTTTACTGTATTCATGCCAAACCTTTTGATAAACAAAGAAGTACTCCCTGTGCACACACACACCCCCACACCCCTCATTAAATGGCAACATCAATAATTCAAGAGGTCACCACTGAGGCTGCAGTGACTTCTTAGAGTTCTGATCTCATATGGCAGTGGGGTCAGTGGAAAGAAACCTGCTCAGCACATCACAAGGTTGAATTCCCAATAGCTGAGATTCAAAGAGTAGTGTTTGAATTGATTCAAAGTCTTGCACTTCAGTGAAAGTGCAATTATCCAACAGTCACCAGGACTGGCCTCTGAAAGTTGCCTGATGTTCAGGTTATTCCAACTTCCAGCTGGAAGGGATTCCAGGAGGGATTAGTCACTAGTGTAGGTAAGTGCCTGACTGGTATGACTAGGGCTGTCTGTTCAGCATTTTGTTTAACCTGAGCTGCAGAGCAGACAGAATGCAGAGGCAGGTTGAGAGGAAGCAGTTAACAGCAGCAGTGTAAACAAGCTGATAGCACTGCCAGGCCCTGCTTCCCTGGAGGAAGAATTAAGGGGCTCAAGGATTTGTCTCTGAAGGGAATTTGAACTGACTGAGACTAGCCCAGCAATCCCATCCCTGGCAAGTGAACTTGAGGAGGGCACCAAGTGTCCTACTCTGACCTGGTTTGTAATGAACCATTTCAGAAACATTTGGAACATTATAAATCAACCAGAAGGACACAGCAGTGGGGTTTTTTAGCATTGCTTCTGCA